GTGAATACGGTGATGAATCTTCGGGTTCCATAAAATGCTGGGAAATTCTTGAGTAGCTGCAGAATTGGCGGCTCCACAAGAAGGGCTCACCTCCATAAGTAAGTACGTAAAGTATAGATATAAAATATGGGCCCTTAATACTTCTTGATTAAAAATCTTCTGTTTGCTCATTTTGTGATTCTACTGTATTCTCCCCTCCTCTCGTTGCTTCTCTACTCTTTACGTAAATGACACCAGATTTCAATTTGCAGTTTTATTTACTTGAATTTCCTCAAATTCATGAATCACTCTGTTGGCCTCTGAATAGTAAGGTTCCCTCCACATTCCTGATGTCGATTCGTAACTTTATCTGGCAATTGTAATAACGCAGTGAAGTGTATTGAAAGACAAGCTGACCACTGAATCAAATGAGATCACACCCAAGGCGGAACAGACAACGAAAAATGACTGCTGTCATCTTGACTGGTTTCTAATCCATCATTACGTGGGTTTCGTTCAGTACTCCAAGGTCCGGAGTTCGACATCTGGACTGCTGGTTCTGCCATCTGAGTTTCCGCTTCAACCCCCACAGTAGGACAGACCGCCTCCAACAGTAGCAGAGTACAGTACTCCACCATCCCGCCAATATTTTTATTAGCGGCAGTGGCTCCCCGATTGGTAAATTATCAGGTGTAACTGAACTCTGAGTGACTGACTGGTTAAAGCGTTTTGCAGCCTGTTCGCTTACAGAACCCAGGGCATATCGGGACTCTCAATCAATCAGCACAGACTGGCTACGGGCTCGACGGCTGGGTTTCGATTACCGGGAGGAGCTAGCGTATTTTCTTGTTTAGTACTTCCAGACCAGCTCTGGTGCCCGTCTAGCATCGTCTTCTATGCATACCCAGTGCTCTTCTCCCTCAGGTAAAGCGGAACTCGAAACTTCCCTCTGACCTGCGTCTTGTTCTGAAGTTAATAATGGGTTAAATTCAACCTAACTCCCCCTCCCCCAATCATTATGTCAATGATGATCATTTTAAGGAAATGGAGGCGAAGGGCGAGTGCTCTGATGCATTTCGGCTTCTCGATGAATCGCTTTCCGTTTCAGTGCAATTCGGCTGGCAAGTGTCAGAATGATAAAGTCATTACACACCCGCATTAGCAGTAGTTGTCATGTATTAAAATTGTTGCTATAGGAATGACTTTGCGATCTAAAATACATTTTTTCACTCGTTGTTTTGCACTCTATACGTATATACGAGTACATACATGTCAGTTAAACATAGGCACAATAAACCTACATATTTCTCTAGTATTAGCAGTTGAACTTAACTAACAAAAAACCTAAAACATGGTTTATTCATAAAGTTAGCTAGCTTCAAGTACTTACCCTCCTTTTCCTCCTCATTATCTTCGTCATAATCGTCATTATCACCACCACCATGGCTTGTTCCGGCTGCAAGCACAATAATTTAATTACCCAACAGTTTTGTCTACTGGTAAAGCTATAGACATGTATTAAGGAAGTGCTTATTTCTAATCTAGGTCGAGACGCCAGCTGTTCTGACTGAGGCCTTTAGTGATTTTCCTCAGTCCCTCCAGACAAATGCTGAGGTAGTGCCTTGATTAGACTGTGACAACTTTCTTCCAAATCCTTCCCAATTCATCGTTCGTTAATAATATATCATCTCGTTAGTGACAGCGTCGTTAAACGACCAACTAAAAATAATTTGAACTGGACCAAGTGATGTGAAGAAATTCCTCTTGAGAAGCTAATAGATTCTCAATTTGTCAAAGAAGTGCTCGATTTTCTTGGAATCTGAAGTTTACTGCAGTGTTCAGTGCAGGTCATCACGGGACCCTGAGCTGAGGCAGTCGAATTCTGTCCACGCCCTTCTCACACACTATTTGTTTAAGGAAAGGGAAAAGAAGCAGCATTTACTGTCATAGAATTTGTGTGAAATAACTGAAGAAAAACCATGAAACTGCACAGTCACCTTCAGTATCCTAACAATGTTATGTAACTTGTATAAACCATGAACTTTCTTCTTATGGAATGTTCCCAGTTTCTCAGAAATTTCGTCTTTCTTAGGTCCAACTATCTTTCTGAGCTCTCTGTAATTTATACTTTCTCTGAAAGTCTGGAACCATGTTTTATACCCATATGAAACAACTGTCAGAATAATTTCTTGTATCACGACTCTAAGCATTTCGAAAACGACTGAATACGAAGTGAGCTATATAGTTGCATGCGAAACCCTGAATATATAGGCGTATAGACAAAATAACAGACAAATAGAAAAATAAGAACTGAATCACCTTCTATGTCCTTATATCGGACATGATTATAATTTCTGTATGTATTGAATATCGCATTATATGGGCCTGTATATAATTTAACGTTTAATACATACTGTCACGAGTTATGTATGTGACTGTAGACGGGGTATGGATTGGTGAATGGATTTATTGACACACATACCACCCGGAATTACAAGTAATTACAGCGCTGTTGCTAATCTCCAAAATTCACAAATCATCAAATCACCCGCCAAGCCTTTATCTAGCCTGCTATGTCTTCATCAGCCGTTTCCTACCAACGGCTTTAACTGGCGATTCTTCAGCTTCCCGCTCTTCGTTCCTATCTTCACAGCCACCCATACAGAACTGAACTCACAACTAACAACTGAGTCTGAGTCTTGTGTTACGACCGACGGTCAGTCTGTCTTGGGATAAAGCACTAATCTGGGGCTTACGACCAGATTGTTATTACTATCAGACAGTTGCGGATTTGTTGATGTGGGGCGCTCCCTCTGACAGGACGGGTCTGTCGTTTACAATTGGTGCTGGTGCTCGCCAGCGCAGTTTTTTTTTCGGGTCTGAGTCCCGTGAGACTCGCGACCAAATTTTACTGTCTCAGATTCGAGAATTCCTTTTCGTCGCCTCCTACCACTCGCAGGGCTACGGTGGAGGTATTCGACCCTCCTACACTCGGAAGCAAGCGGACTCGTGTTATAGCCGCGGCACAGGCAACTCAGAAAACACAGTTCTATTATTGCGTACCACAGACCACATAGAAAACAAGTCACGTGATAGACATCTCGACAGTCCATTGGCGCACTGACTGTTGCCTAATAACGAACTATAAACATTCATCCTATTGTTGTGTGCGCGTATCGCGGTGTGTTTATCGAGCCCTTGCGTGGCAATGCGTTGACATGTTACAATATAAAGCAATCTGTCCAGAGCTATTTCGGCACTAGGCAATCTTATGCTTTCTAATACATAACGGGAATTATTCGGTGTTTATGAGGCTTATTATAATGCGATCACACGGCGGAAATTGTCGAAAATATGTTGTGTTATACACGTCAGGTTTAAAACCACTCTTTATTGATAAGAATGGATATTTCAGGGTTTGTTTCTTGCAGCTAGCAAACTGTGATGTATCCGGTGAGGTTATAATATTGTGTTGGCGTTTATGAAGTTCTTGAGAGATGCATATAACAGATTCATCTAGTGGACAATTCTTGGTCTACAAGGACCGAGTGACATGAGAGATATATTATTGATGCTTTTGTTATTTATATCTCAGATTGTTATAGAAATCTGTGTTTTGAGATAATATAAATTTCAAGCAATGGAAGACTTGTGTACATAATCTAACAGTATCTGCAAGTTGTGGATACTCTTGTTCTGAATAGACTGTGTAACCCCAGATATATTGACTTTCGTCCATTTACATTCGTAGTTTTTCGTAGTCCGCATAATGTGTTTAGCTTTTCTGTGCCTGTTGAATTGTGTGGGTCTATTTCCTGACTCTTTAAATCTTGGTAGTAAAACGTTTTGGTATTTATAACGGTGTATCGATATGGAAGCTTTCTCGATAGTGACTTACTTGCTAGCCACTTCTAGGGTGTTGGTTCTTGCGGTTCCTGTAAGTGGAGCGCAGAATTTCATGATCACTTTTCATCATTTGCTCCGCATGAACCGCGACAAATTGTGTCAAGTGCTTACTCCCGTAGTTACTGTAGGATTCTGACGATGGTGTATGACACCTGTGTGTTTCACTGCCCAGTGATTGAGGCTAGCTCTTTCTAACGGACCCAACTGAGTAGGTGTTTTCCTTCACCTGAGGACGGAAACAGATCCAGTTTCCGAAACGTCGTGTTTTTATTTGTTATCTTAAAAACCAGGACGATGGATAAAGTCCAAAAACCCAACATATCAGTGTGCTTACTCCCGTGTTTCATGACTCTTTTCTAGGTCAGATCTGATATTTTCAGATTTAAATTCCTATTGGGAAAGGATATCGTAAGTCACCTTTCTTTAGACACGTAGATGAAACTTAGGCAGAGTAGATATTGGCTATATAAGAACTTTGTTTTGAACATTGTCCATTGTCTGTGACATATTTGATACTGTCACGTGACTACAGACAGGGTTTGGATTGTTGAATAGATTTATTGACCACTTATAGGTCGTAACTACAAATAACTGTAACACTGTTCAACTTAACGTCTATTATTTATCATCCGTCAATATTGCAACACTCTTCCATTCACCATTCAGTTTTAGTTTAACATTATACACCTCGACACTACACCACACGCTGTGCAGGAAACACGCAAACCAGGGGCATATGACAGTCATAACTGAAAAGTAGGCTACGAACGTGAGGGGCAAGCTGCCGAGAAAAACACCCTGGACAGAAATACATTTATGAAAATGGACGACACCCCGTGTGAGGTGAAAGAAAAAGTTCTTCTCTTGAAGAAAGAAAAACAATAGTAGGGCCTAGTAATAGTCTCTGGCTTTTATATCTGCAAGCAATAAACTATTCTAAATCGACTGGAATTTTACCGTGTCATCGCACCAGGCAGCAGTCCAGTCTAGGAGAAGAGGCTGTGTGTTGTACCGGGAATTCTTGCACTATATTGGACCTATATTACATACGTACATTACTTGCGGAAGTAACACGAATTCTTCAGCCGGCTTAACCTTGTTATTATTTGTTTCAGGTATCTACTGCTGGCTGTAAGCTGCATGCTGCATGGCGCGGTGTTGTGAGTTAATAAAGTAGAACTCGTATTATGTAAGCCAGGGGTGAAAATGGAGGGCACGCGTGCCACAGGGTAGGACGCGAAGAGATTTTAGAAAACGCTTCCTTCCAAGTTTCTAATGATAATTCGACGTCACTGTGGAATTTATAAATATTATTCCTTTGAACAGAGAGTTGTGGCATTTTAGTTCTCGTCTGCTCGAGCTGCTTAGTCAAAACCTATGGATTTTCTTCTATTTTGTCTTTTTCTTCCACTGGAAACAGAGGCATTTTGTGGATTATTGCAATACAATATGTAAGTGTATGCCATATTATTTTGCTGTGAGAGAATGTATTATTGTTGCAGTATTCTTTTAAATCATGTGTTACAGACTGCCTCTGTGGTCTGGTGGTCAGAGTTCCTGGCTACAGATCCAGAGGTCCGGGGTTCGATTCCCCGCGCTACCAGATTTTCTGAGTAGTGGATCTGGAACAGGTTCCACTCAGCCTCGTGAGCATAATTGAGGAGCTATTTTAAGGAAATAGCGGCTCCAGTCTAGAAAACCGAGATTAACGGCCGTGGGAATCCGTTGCGCTGACCACGCGACACCCTGTCTCCGCTAAATTTGTCACTAACTTCGCAGACAAACGGTGGTCGCTCGGTATAGTTCGCTTGCGGACTACAGGCCACGGAGTTTGTTTTGTTTTTGTTTATTACATTCAGCACAAAGTATTTTTACATGGATAGGCCTCTATAGTAGCCTATACCAGTACATATACTTACTGTAATATAGGCCTACCGCAAAGTATAAATTCGGAAAATCTACAAAGAAACGGAAGGAATATTAGATTTTCACATTCAGTAAAAAAGTTGCCGATCCTTGACATGGAGAACGGCAAGACAATTGTGTAAACTAGTCTCCGGCATAGCGGACTCATAATGCCTTGAATGGGACACATCAGACTTCCATGCGCAATAATTTTGTTAATACTGCGCGAGTTGTTTCAGAATCCCATATAGATTTAGTAATTGCAAATAACGAGGGACGTCATTTTGTACAGAAGCTCGAGGGAATGTAAATGCTTCTGTTAGTTGTTCTGAAACACGTTTTGGAATGCAGTTTGAATGGTCAAACCTCTTACTGACCTGATACATGTTGGACCTCGTATTCCTATTTGGAGAGTTAAAGTGGTTTCATGTTGTATTGAGACCTTTCGTTTCTCCTTTATTAAAAGAGTGGACAGCGTGAAGCATGTGCCTTATATAATAGTACCAGTACTGTGTTGACAGTACGTCCTGCGATTGCTTCACACTGCTAACTGTTTCTTCATTTAGTTTATCTGACGTACATCTAATTGCACGCCGTAACATTTAGTTGCTTAATCGTTAGAGTTAAATGAAGTACACTGTTTTAAGGCCAAATACCTTGAGTATGAAAGTTCAAAATAATTTTAAATTATACATAGTTCCTGTGCCTTTAAAGCATGGGATTTGTCTAAATATTATACAATTTATTTTCTATTATCAGATAACGCACTCTGACCCCGTTGCAACGGTCAAGTGGTTAATTTTGCCTGAGAAAATTTCTTTACTTTCTAACTATTATAGAAAACATACGTTAACTATGTGGATGAAATGAAAAATTTTTATTAATCAATTTACAATTGTGATTTAAAATTTGGTTACGATCCTTCCCCATAAATCCTTCTGATCTGCTCTTATGTCCGAACCTTTAAGTTAACACTTTCTGGTGCCGGTATGTCTGGCAGTGATATTCCGATTGTCGCTTTCCTGTACATTGTCAGGAACAGCCCTACATGTTTTCCGTTCAAACAGAATAAATTGTGCATTTTGTGTTTTCGTATGCCAAAATATTAGTGTGTATTAATATCGAGGGCTAGCCCGTCACAGTGGCCTCGCGATCTAGGGCATGAACCGTCTTCCCCCACTCAAACACTGTGGTCGTTGGTTCGAAACCCACTCGAGACATGGATGTCTGTGTGCGTTTATTCTGTGTTTGTGTTGTGTGTAGGCAGCGGCCTTGCTACAGGCTGATTGATCCCTTTTTGAAGGAGTCCTAGGGACTGTGTATAGGATTAGGGTCCAAAGGGCTGTAGAGCTATGGAGAGAGAGAGAGAGAGCGCGAAATATTGTGGACTTGTGAGAACTTTTCTCTTAAATAACGACTTTCATGGCGTATAATTTAGTTACTTTATTCCAGAGGACGTTTCGGATAAAAGCCACGATAGTCCTAAATTATTATAATTTTTCTCCATCGTGGATTCGAACTGTGTGCATCGCAGATCAGAACCAGAGCTCATTAATATGTCTGTGACTTGTTCGTTCACATGCGTGTGACTAACATGCTGTTTGCAAACAAAAGGTTCATTTATGTACGAAACAGGCAGAGAAATGTTTAACATGACACAATTCTGCTAGCATACGAACAAAGGGAAAGGTTGGCCTAGAGTATAGGAGGTTTATATTGTATATACAGTGTTGTCCACTTATCTGCAGACTATATAACTCCTTTCTCTCTTCCAAAACTTGAGGTGCTAAACTAAAACTTGATCTCGAAACTGTTGCCTTTCACTTGATTCCAGCAGCGGCAGTGACTTGGTACATTTTCTAGAAGAAGCAAATAAAACACAGGCGACCGGCAGTATCAGGGCGTCTGTGCTGTCGAACATGGCCCCAGGATACTCTCGACCAGCAGGAAAGAAATGTGTTGAAATGGAAAGGAAATTTAAAATGTTAGACTGGTTTATTTGTACAGCTTTTAACCGTTTTTAACAAACTCTTAGGAAAAGGCATAACCACGTGACTTGCAGGCCCTTGTCTCCTCCTGTTACTGCAGACACCGATACAAGCCAAATCAAATTATGAACATTTGGTTATTTGCCGTGATTGTTTCCTCCCTTTTATTTCATAATGGGCGTTGTGTGCTTGACAAACTATTTTATCTGATACGTAATTCTTCCCCAGGATAGCTCAGTAGGTATAGTGACTGGTCAGGGGGCGTTGGGTGGTGTTCGATTCCCGGCAGAGATAAGAGATTTTTTCCTATTTCACGGCGTCCAGACCGACTCTGAGGCCCACCAAGTCTCCTTTTCAGTGAGTACAAAGGGCTCTGTCACTGGGGTAAAGCGGCCGGATCGTGAAGCTCACCAATGACCTCCATCCAGGGCCGAGGTCAAGAATTGTGACGCTATACTTCCACTCCCAGATATGTCTTAATGGCCTAGTGATTAGCGAACTAAGCGCAGGGACAACTTTGCAATTCCTCCTATCATTGGTTGCTTTCTAAGCTACTGAACGACCCTGTTTTATTTTAAGAAGTTACGTGGTTTGACGAGTGGGGAGGTCAATAAAACACAGAAATAATACGTTATTTAATAGTATCGTAAAAGTAGTATCACTTACTCCTCAAACATTTTTTTTTAATTATAGCAAAAGTAATGTTGTCTGTCTGTTAAAAGCACCACGTCATAAAGGCATAAGAAGGAGTAGACAGAACTCCACACATTCTTAACCGTAGTGCTAGGTTGACTAGTATAAAGGGCACTCGAAGTATGTGTTTCAATGAACATTCATATTATAATTATAATTTCATTAGTCACGACCTTAAAATAATGTTAAAGAAGGAAATACATTGAACTGCGCCTTTGAATGTAAACCTCTATGAACTAATATTAAAAACGTACCCTTAATGTATTCTATATATAATTTGGAGACCTAAATTAAACCTTTACAATTTGACATCCATAAGCATACGTGATCCGCGAAGCTTAGTAGTAGTAATAGTATTTGTAATATGTGTAAGGGTGGGCCATAAAAACCGGCCCTTGCACTGCGATCTTCAATGATCTATTAATCCCTTTGGATTAACCCTTTATTAATCCTACACATAGAATGAAATGTAGGACTTTATTTATGGGGCGTCATAGAAGTCACTTGATTTCATAAAGAACTGGCCCAGGTGACGAAATCTTAAATAAGCTGTGGTGTTACAGTCACATAGGATATATGTGGCTGATTCGTCTTCTTGTAGGCACCTTTTTACAGGTTGGGTTATCTGTCAATCCCAGTTTGAAAAGGTGTACTTTTAGGTAACAGTGTCCGGTAATCCGCCAAGCTTACACAACCTGGTGACATGGCCAGCCAGCTGAAGTAATGCCCAGCTTTGAATTAGGTGCACTGATTTCAGTGTACACGTATATCCATACTGAATACAGCGCGGTTGAGTATCTCTGCAAGTCAGAGGAAAACACGCCTACATATCCTTGTCGTCAGACAGGTTTCTGTAACTTCCGACATTGTGGTACTCCAAAAGTGAATGGTGTGTGCAGCTTGCTCCACACATATATTGCAGCTCTTTAGCGGAAAAATAATCCCATTGCACTTCACTTTCTTACGACTCATTTTGCTGCCAAAAAAAAAAAACGACATACTTAGCTGTTAGAATCGTTCAAGAAGGCAGTCAAACATTTTTATTTGTGATGGGAAAACACCGGTAGTAGAACTGAAGTGTGTAACATCTCTAATAGTAAAGACGGCTACTGGACACGATCCAGAGCTAGTTCCATTCAAAACCTATCTCCCTAAGATACGTATTGTCACGTGTAGGGAGGTACGCGAGACGAAAATAACGGGTTCCAGTTCCGGTGGTTGGATTTATTAGCACCCTGGTTACAACCTCACTTAATCACACTTAAATACAGCACTATTTTTTATTTACACACTTTACAGTTCACCGTTGCACACGCACTACGATTGTCCATCTTCAATAATCGTCTCCTGGCAACGGGTTTCAATATAAAAACTAACACTTCAGATCACTAAGAAGTCTTCTTGTTACTTCGTCTTCAATCACTCCGGTACCCCAGAACTAAAAATTCTTCTAGACTCACTCCTTCGGCTTACGACTGACTCGTAACTGCCCCGAACGAATTCCGTCACTCTTATATAGCTGCGGAACGGACATGGATCTCCAGT